TTAACTGTTTCAGGAAAAATATAAAACATAATATAATTATTTATTTACATTATTTATTTTATTTTTTCTTCATATAAAAATTATTAAAATCACTATATCATTTTTCCCGCACATTAAACAAAATTAAAAAATGTTAGCCTCATTGATTTTTATAACAAAAATTAAAGCAACTGAAATATTTGCAAAATATCAGGATTCAGCTTGCAATTTCGTAGAGTTATTATTATTATTATTAAATAAAAATATTAGTATATCTTTGATTATAATTAATGATCCTTTGGTCTACATTAAACTATTGTTCAAGAAGTTAAACATTTTCAAGCATCTTCTGCTCTAGTTATTATTCTATTCCTCGACATGAAAGATTTGCTAGTCTTATTCCAATTTAAATGCCCACATTTGCTAAATAAAATAAGGCGAGTATTGTACCAAACTCAGTAAGTACATAAATTTAATATACAGCTTATTCCAGTTAAATGGGTAATAGGATTTTCATAAAAGAAATTAAATTGTGTAAATTAATGTAAGTGTTGATATGAATAATAAAAAAAAAAAACTTGATATAAGAAAATAAACAAGTTATTTTGAAGATCTTTAAATTAAGAAAATACAATTTTTTGCAAAAATGCACATAAAGATTTAGCTCACATGTTAAAATTCATAGAAAAAATTTAGCCTCATATATGAATGCCCCTTTTTTCATGTTCGTGGAAAAGGAAAACAAAGTGAAATGGCAAAAGTGCACTAAACATTTTGAATTAATAAACTTCATTTTCAATCTTTTTAGACTTTGTATAATATCCGTAAAAGTGACGAATGAAATATACCATAAAGGCAGTAGTTTCTTTCAGAACATTCGATTCATATAATATGCGTAAAAGTGACGAATAAAATATACCATTATGGCGGTAGTTTTTTTCAGTACATTCGGATTCGTATAATTTTCGTACAAATAACGTGTGGAAAATAACGATCAAGAGTCAACAGTAACTTCAGACTTTTTCATTCGTATAAATTTCGTAAAAGTAACGTGCAAAAAATATCATACCCTTATTTCACCAAAATTTATACGTATATTTTTGGAGACGTGCTGCCTGGGAATTTCCTACTTTACATTGATTCCTATACATATTGTTTCACTTAATGAATGCTTTGCATTAGAAGTAAGATTCTGGAACTAATCATGCTCACTAAGCAAGGTTCCACTATATTTCAAACAGTTATGAGAAAACAGAAAGTTTGAGCAGAAAATGAGAAAAATTTTTAAAAACATATTAAATATAAATGAAGGTTTTACGTAATTTATTACATACAGTTTATGGCAATAATTATTTGTTAGTAAATTTCTTATAAAGTAGTCTGAACTGCAATAGATTATTATGTGCCTTATCAATTTATCTTTTTCCATTTTCAAGAGATTTGTAAGTGAAACTGTCTGGCCTCAATAAACTGAGTATGATTTTTTATATTACAGCAAAACACATAACTTAAATGAAGGGGTACCTTTGTGGATGACTTTAAGGAGAAAAGACTTGATTGTGTTCAAATTACACACGGAAGAAATTACAAAAACTCCTAAGAAGCAAGTTCATTAGCTGGGTTTTGAACACAGGTCAAACTCCAAGAAGCAATTTTAGCACTTAAGTTACTTCGACTTCAGAATATGCGATAGTAGTTATAAAATAAATTTAATACAATAAGTTTAATGAAAATTACAATAAGTATGTAATTTTAATCATAAAACAGAACAAGCTTTACCCAAGACGCAATATATTTTTTTCAAGTAAAGCACAACGGCTCTAATAAAAATCAGCAAATTTTCAACGTCTTCCCGATTCTCGCAATTACCACAATAGTTCTTCAGCTATAACAAATAATGTTGTCAGTTTAATGCTTGTTCAACAACTTTGAATCTATTCTTAAAGCGACCACCTCAGAAATTTCGTCACAACAAAATAATGCTTTTTTCAAGAGTTGCTGCATTGTACACACATTTTGAACAATTAAATATGATGCACAGCACCTATATTATAGCAAGCTATGGGTTTGCAGAAGTATCTTTATTAATCACATGCCAGGTATGCAGATAGAAATTGATACTTCATTGAAATAATATTTCTACTATAAAGCAAAAGCTTAAAATAATTCAAGGCGAAAAACAGAGATAAAACAAATGCACCTCAATACAAGAAGATTATTACAGATAAAAAAAAATCATTAAAATATAAATTTAGTAATCATTAGGCAGTGCTTGAGAAAGTCATACAACTCTGCTTGGTTGATTCTCGACTCAAACCTTTCAGAGCCTTCAAGTCTTCTGGACCTTCCAGAAAATCATCAAGCCTGACAGGCGAGTTTTTACCCATATATCTGGTTCTAGTTTTGCTATCTAATTCAAATACCAAACAATTCAGAATTACAAGATCTGCAACGCAATACATGATAAACACAAACAAGTAAACCATAAATTTATTATAACACAAATGTACACAACAAATGAATAAAAACAATACATAAAACTATAAAAATAAACAGTAGAAGTACATTTACGGCTACCCCTTGGCGAAAACTGGCAGTACATGGATATCGAGTTTGCGCAGTTCTTTGAGTTGTTATTCTGGCTTTGCGTAGTGGTGATTTTAACGCCAAAATCACCGCTACACAAAGACAAAATAACAAGTCGAAAAACTGCACAAACTCGGTATCCATGTGCACATTGATGTATTTTCACTTTAAAAAAAAAAAAAATTACACAATTGCACAAAATCAGCATCCACGTGCACAATGACCTATTTTAACTTTAAAAAAATTTACTGAATTGCACAAACTAGGCATAGCGCACTCCCTTGACTTTATCCATGTACACATCGGCCTATTTTCACTCAAAAAAAAAAAAAAAAAAAAAAAAAAATCAGAGAATTGCACAAACTTGGCACTGAGCACTCCCTTGACTTTGTCAATGTACACATCGATATATTTTCACTTAAAAAGTCAAAGAAGCACCCAATTCTAGGTAAAAATATATTTATGGAACATTCAACTACTCAGGCTACTATAAATGAAACAACTTGGCGACAACTTCACGATAATAAAAGGGTACCTTTCAGTCTACAAATGAAACAACTTGGCGATAAACGAAACAACTTCGCGATAATACAATCAGACTACTCTAACCAAATAAGCAAAAACCGAAATTAAATTAAATACAAACAATTATATAAATTTATAACACATTTGAAAGAAATTAAATCTAATAAAAGAATGTACTTTGAGAAGAGAAATTTAATGCTTAAATACAGTCAAAAGTCTTTAATCCGGACGTCCATAAACCGGAATGATCAATAATCCAGACCTCAAAGCTACAAACTTTCTGCGCATGCGTCAACGCATAATGCGTTAACACATGCGCATAATACCTTTACGCATGCACATAATATGTTTACACATGCGCGTTTAATCCATAATGGACGGTATAAGCTAAGCTAAAATTATCTATTTCAGTTAATGTTGCAGATTGCGTTGTTCCTTAATCTTCTAATTGTATCCAGCTTGTTATTTTTTGCAGACTGTTAGGGCAATTTTATAAAAGTAAGCTTGAACCTTCGATTATGTCAAAAAGAATTTCCGATTCTGGAGCTGCCAAAGGATCCACAAAGCGAAAGCATGTTCCGATGTCCATCAAACAAAAAGTGGAATTGCTGCAAAAAAATGGATAAAGGCATATCCTTTGATTCTCTAATCATTCTGAAATATGCTTATCAATTTCACGCTGCTCTGCAGGGGGGGGGACGAAGCGGCGCGATATGAACTGGAAGTTGATCTGTCAGCACTATCCTTATCTTCAGGGCAGATATTTTTATTTTATTCAGCTTATAATTTCTTACTAAATGTAGTATTTCATCTCGACGTACACCATTTTTGATATGATTTAAATCAAATTCCTTGTCATTATAAATATCATGAATCCACAACAAATAGTTTTATGGTTGCAATTTTCTAATTTCGACTATGTGTAATGTATGCTTTACGCATGCGCGCATTGAAAGAAATGTTTAATATAAAGTACACAAATAAATATAAAGCTTTTTTTTTTTTTTTTTTTTTTTTTTTTTTTTGTAAATTTTGCTACCCTTTAGATCATAATTGCTCTTTATTTCATAAATTACGGTTTCATATTTTTAATTTCATAATTTCTGCATGCCATCTTACCAGATTTAAACTGATGATTTATAATCCGGAAAAACCGATAATCTGGAATAGCTGAAGTCCCGGCGAGTCCGGATTAAAGACTTTTGACTGTACAATAGAACGTAATTAAAGTAACTCTTTCCCCCTCTTTTTTACTGTTAGAAGCTACAAATCCTTCATTTTTCTTTAAATAATGAGTCCTGATATGCAGGAAGGAATGTACAATTTGTTGTGAAAATAATAATATGTAGCACACAATAACAGCTAAAAATAACTCAAGCAGAACATGGATATTAAGCAATTCCTCCTCAACACACGAAATAAATTGTAAATTTCCTTAAATCACTCTCAAGCTAAATCCTACTAATAATTAATTAACCCCAACACCTCACAGTTCATTCACAAATAAATTCCTTAGTTCTCTGACCTATATTTATACATATTAACATGGGTTCTGGAAACTTCTGTACGAATTGGTCATAAAGCTTCAAAAATGTGTTTTCGTGAATTTTCTGGAAAAGTCGGTGAGAAATAGTAACCTGTGAGAAATGAAATTGCCATATCTTGAGCTCTAATTGAGCAATTTTTACAATTCCAGCATTGTTGCACTCAGAATTAAGAGATCTACAATTCTATAGAACAAATAAATGTTTAAATATAAGAAATATGGCCTTAGATTAAACATAGAATAAACTTAAAAATTATCAACCCCAAAACAACAAATAAAGTGATACAAAACATCACAACATGCAGAAAAACAAAAATATGGTCAGAAAGCATTCAAATATTAACAACAATGTATTAAAAAATACCTTTCTTTGAATAATCATTGTTATACAATTTTTAGCATCCTGTAGTATTGATGAGTACTTCGTTTCATCATGCATACAACGTCCTACGTCCAGCACAATTGCAATAGCTTCCTACAGAGTAAAAATACATATAGATTAAATCCATATTTTTTTTCTAGTTTTCTACATTTCCTCAAATAACAATAATATGAAAAAACCAAACATCTACATAGTTCAAGACCTGAGGTAGGTTTTAGTTTTGCAAATTTTAGATCTCATATATATATTAGGATTAAAATAAGCTAAAATAAACAAATCCATAAAAAATCTTTAACTTTTTATGCAGAAAAATGAATTAACTATGTTATAATTATATATATAGAAAAACAAAGCATATAAAAATTATTTTTTACATATTTTAAATATTTGCAGCAGCTTCCTTTAAAATTTTAGGCTATTCCATTTAATTTAGACTTTAAAATTTTAGACTACCGAAACCCCAGCCAAATTATTCAGTCACTATTTTTTAAGGTTTTGTTGTTCTAAATTATGTCTCACTGCTAATCATAAAAGTAGCCAAGAATGAAGCCTGAAATAGTAATAACAATTCTGACGATACATTCAAGACAAACTGCTGCTTGGAAATAAAATCTTACATGAATATATGATAAAATTATTGTAGAATTTTGGAATGAATTATTCTATTAAAGCAGTTTTGGGTTAGTTAGTTTTTTCTCCTCTTAGTAAGACATTGGCTGTCTGCTATTTCACAGCTGTGTAAAATAACTGTCATTGATACTCTTGATGTTTGACGACGTACCATTGAAAGTAGGAAATCAAAGTTTCAACTACTGTAACATTTTCAGTTAAGACAACAATAGCTTAATTTTAAGTTACGGGCAAAAGTTAAATGATGTTAAGCAAATTATTTATTTAGCTATGCATAAAAACATAATAATCAATAAAATATGGCAACTTGCTTCAATACTTAAAGAGAAAACCTGAGGCCAATAATGTCCAAATATTGACAAAGATATAGCATTTTTATGTTTGCAAGTACAGACTGTATAGATTACAAGTACATACTTGCCAACCTATGACACTCAAAAATCAGGAGATTTTTTTAAAGAAATCAGGAGATTTTTTACAATGTTAAAAAGACTTTTTAAATGATAAAAATAAAGTTTTTAATAATGAATTAACTTTAAATAGTTACCAATTCTTAAATGCAAGCAACACAAAGTACCTTACATATAAAAAACATTTTTATTACTTGCATCATTTTTTAAAACAAACAAACAAACAAAACAAAAAAAAAAGACCCACTTTAATCAATTTTCGTACAAATGTTATGAACAATGGCAGATTTTGCTTTCGTTAAGAAAGAAACTTCATAATTTTATTCATAGCAATTGCCACGTAGGTCTGCTTTCGCTAATAAAAGTTTTTCTAATGTGTCATCACTAATATTAGATCTAATTTTAGCCCTCGTTTTCGCAACAACACTGAAAATCCTCTCACACTCTGCATTGCTATGCATAGATGGCTTTCTTAGCCTTCTTAATTTGTTCGTCATCCGTCTATAGGAACTGTTCAAGATGGCCAACATAATTCTAGACAGTTCACTATATTTTAAAATTCCGTCAGCACCTTTCAGTTTTCTAATTAAACTCCACTAGGTGTCAATCCTAGCTGATTTTATAACTTCATCCACGTTTTCTAATTGTAAACTGCAAAATTACGACTGCAATATTATCAGTGGCAACATCAATATCATCATGTTCCATGACTAACACAGGAAATCTGTTCAAAATTTTTTTGTTCAAATAACGAAGTATTACGCCAAGTTCCATAAAAATTGTGAAAAATTTTAAGACTAAGAAAAAGTCGGGAGAAATATATTGTAAATCGGGTTGGCGGGGGAGAGGTCGAAAATCGGGAGTCTCCCGCCTAAATCAGGAGAGTCGGCAACTCTACAAGTATTGACAGTTTTTTTTTTTTTTTGTATGGTATACAAAGTATCCAAGAAATAAGTGACGACGAATGACATATACATGCAAAATCAATTTACACTGTTGGTTTAAATATCTGGAAAAATATCATTAAAAAAATTTTAGCCCATCTTAGATAAAAACAGATAGAAAAGTTCCCAACAGTTGTTGCAAAGTAAGAAAAAAGTGTAAGATAGAACAGAGAAAATGAGTTAAACAAGTCTGTGTAGTCGAGCAGATTTTGGGGTAAAAGGAGTCAGAGCTGGAGTTGCTAAAAACAGGTCAACTCCGATTCCAGTTTTTGTTGGACAGTTTGCATTTGAAATGAAATTAAAATGAATTGAAAAAATTAATGACAAACTGAGTTATTATTTTTATTTACGAATTGTATACATTAATAAGTAGTTATTTTCTATTTTATTAACATGTTCATAAATAAATATAAGGATGGATGTGATAATTGCCATTAGCAATTAAACTGATTGATTTAGTTACAAATCTCACTGGTAAATTTAGATAAGCAGCAATAGCAGCAAGAACTCCCAAAATTGATGCCATTCTTAGGAAGAGAGCAAGACGAGGAACAATTTTTGATCAAGCAACGCGATGAGGAAGTGCATATTTGGTGATATGGAGGTTGTTAGAATTAAGAACTTTCTTAGAAGATGTAGATAACCCTAATGTTTCATTAACAAAAAGACTGTGGAATGATCTTTCAGAATTGGTAACTCTTGTTTCTACACCCTATATAGCCACAAAAAAAAGCGGCAAGCTGAAGAATTGACAGGAGGCGAGAATAGAAGAATGTGATGTTTGTTCTATTTTAAATGGGGGGGCTTATTGCAAAAGGAATCATTTCTTCAGTGAAGAAAAGAGAAATTAGTTTGCTAGATAATGAGATCTTGCTGGGTTCAATATATGTAGATCCAAAACACCGAATATTGTCGGATGACGAACAAATTAAGAAGGCTAAGAAAGCCATCTATGAATTTTCAATAAGAATGAAATTATTCTCAGAAAAATTGGAGAATTCAAATCAGAACAGTCAAACTGCAGACACTGCAATTAAGTCTATGATCCTCTTCTAGTGATGAATTAGAATTTGAGAAATACTATTTTCGGATAATATTGAAAAGGCTAAGGCAAAGTGAATGAAAATAAAGAACCAAGAGCCTTTAGATATAAAAATGAAAAAATACAAACAAGATTTCTACACGGCCTTTGAAAAAATAGAGAAATATGATTGTCCTTGCAAGACACCTCTTTTAGAATTTAAAAAAAAAAGAAAAAAACTATCCTGAAAAGTTAAAAGAAGCAGCCCTAGCAGTAACAACACTTCCTCCTACTCAAATTAGTATGGAAAGACTCTTAGCTCTGAATTTTATCAAATCGGATCTATGGGCCTTTAACAAAGATCTTGCCGAAGCTATATTGTTTCTTAGAAATAACTAACGCCAGTTTTCCTGGAGTTAAATGACAAAATGATCGAGTTTTGCAATTAAAAAAAAAAAAATTCATATCTATGTAATTATGTAAAATCACAGAAACCTTGAGACATATTAGTAAAATTTCTGCTATTTATAAGTTTTCCATTCCAGGATAAATGCTATCACAGAAGCAGAAATTCACATGAGCTATGACTGCAACAGCTATGTGGTCAAACATGTCTTATATAAACAAACAACATGGAAAAGAATAGTGAAACACGTCTACCTCAAACTGGTAGGAAATACATTGAATTCCAAGATGCTTCCATACGCAACATCAGTCCAATGAGAACTTGAAAGCAACAAACATTCGATTTCATGACTGAGCAACTGCGTACAAGCTAAATAGTAACATAACCAATGTAAAGAAGATGATTACAGCACTAAAGGCAGAATCTTGAGTTTCAGGAAATGCATTATAAAGTAGTGAAGCTGACCATATTATCTGGCAATCCAGTGAGTATGCATTGTGCAAAGATTACCAGGGAAAATAATGTTATTCTATATTATATTCTAAGAGGTATAATATATTCTAAGAGCCTTGCTTTATATTATATTCTTAATATAAAGTAAGGCTCTTAAGTATACTTTAAACAGTGGTGGCGAATGTGCCCAAAACCACGGCCACGTTACAGAGACATTAGGTATTTTTTTGAAGCAGGCAAGATGAAAAATTAGCAATCGCCTTCGCTGGAAATCAAACCACGGACCTCTGGAATACCGGACCAGCCAGCAGAACCATTACACCATGAAGGCGGGAGAAATACCTTACTAGGAGACCCAATTGCCAAATCCTGGGTGTGGAGAGTCATCATCCACAACCCTTTTAGTTCGGGCACCATTGTAGAGACATTAGGATTTTTGGAAGCAGGCAAGATGAAAAATTAGTAAACGCCTTCGCCGGAATCGAACCACGGACCTCTGGAATATTGGCCCAGCGTGCAGAACCACTACACCATGAAGGCAGGAGAAATACCTTACGACATGTCAAAAACCCTTTTTTTGGGGGGGGGCATGCTTAAAACCTCTTTGATTAAATGCCAGAGAGTGGTTTACCAAGTTTTACCTGGCACAGTGAAATTTGAAAGTTGGGCGTTGTTAGATGTTTTGGAATGATAACTGCAAAAACCAACTTTCTGGTAATTATAATTCCTCCTCAATAAACACCTTCTGTTCCGCTTCATTAAGTTCGGCAACAATCTTGTGGTTGATGTTAAAGTGCGGTAAGTAAGTGATCTACTGTAAGTAAGGATAAGTAAGTAAGTGAAACGTTCAAGAACAGATTAAAATACTTATTATTTAAATTACATAGTATGATTTTATTGTGGTTATTGATTAAGGAATATTTTAATCACGTGCCACCTGATGAGGCTCTGCGGAATAAGATTAGTAATAATAACCTATTACTTATCTTACTCTATATTATTTTCTAAGAGAAGTTTGGTGAACTTTGATCTCCCAACAAACTATGAACACAGTAAAAACTAAAATTATAGGAGCATTTCTTAACATTTCAGACAGCCTTCACTATAGCAATTTTGTGTTAACTTAGTTTTGTTTCGATATGACCGTGTAACCATCTTAATATGTCTTTTGCTGGTCACACACTAGTGTGTAACACAATAGCATTGTTTAATAGCAAGTGTATGGTAAG